AAAGGACAGAGGGGTGGGAGCAGACAGCAAGATCATGGGTTTGGGTGCTGATCGGTCATGAACTCTAACTGGATCCTTAACCCTCAAAGTGGCTGTGGGCTTGCTTTGGAGTTAGTGTAAAGAGAAAACAGGGTCTCTGAGAAGCGACAGGTAGTTCCAGCAGGCATCAAGACAACCACCAACAGTGGAGTAGAGCAGCTGGCCCTGAACCCCAAATTTTGAGTTTCGGTAGGATGGCTGGAGACAAAAGAATTTCTCAAAGTAGAACCTCCCTAACACAGGGAACTGCCTCTAACTGCTTCTGAGCCTTATAGAACCTAGATTGCTTTCCTAATGGAACACCATTTTTACCTCCAGGGAGTAGAAATTTTCTACTTTCTACTTTCGTAAGCTCCTTGAAATCCTTACCTTCATGGTAGAGTATAAAAAAAAATTTTTTTTTTTTTTTTTTTTACAAAGGAAATTTATTTTAAATTAGTGGTAAATGCCATTTAAAGACAACATGAATCCTAAAAAATTAATATTTTGATATTAACGGTTACTCTTGTTATCTTGAACTCTGATGCCACAAGTATTTCACTGTCTACTATACGTCCAGCATTGTCCTGAGTACTTACATCACCCTCAATTAAGATTCTTTACTTCTGTTGGCCTCCTTTTGGATGAACATAAAGCACCTCATGCTTGTGTAAACCTGCACTGAATGACTAGTGGGTTATTGTGTTCAGGTCATTCCTAGCAACACTCTATAATACATAGCCTACGTAATAGTCTTTTGAATGGGCCTTTGTCTTCGATTCAGCAGCTCCAAGATATTAGTGGCTTTTTACCCTAGTGGGATAAAATTTAGCCTTTTTAGCAATGAAATCTAAATTTTAATTTTCATTTGTAGAAAAAGTGCACATTTTAAAATGAGTGTCTCACCTAGTGGTAAGTTATTTTGATTGTGTCTATTCTCCCCCCATTTAAAAAGATAAATGACGAGTACCACATAGCAGTGTCCCTAAGTTACATTTAACCGGGAATAGAGAGCCCAGGGGCTATTTTTGCTACTTCGAAATACTATATTGATTACACAAATTTGAATTAGTCACTCTGCAGGCCACTTATAATGCCTTCGGGTTTGGGTATGTGTTCAGTGTACATAGATGTTGCTATAACTCTGATTACGCAGCCCGCGTGCTATTTGAAGTTAGGAAGCAGGTATGTTTGATCCTTGGAATCTGTTGTGTTCAGAAGGGCCTCTGTGTCTGTTATTCTGTTATTTTCTCTTTGATTATATCTTTTTCTCTCATCCTTTGGATGCAAAAAGGAAGTTTAAGATGGGGACAAAATCCAGATATAATAAAATCCTGTGGCATTAGGTATTCTACATGGGGAAAGCATTGCCTTAATGTGTCATTTTATTATCACTCAACAGCTAGCTCACTGAACCAAACTCCATTTTGGCTCTAGTTTGGCTGTTAGGAAAGATCGAGTTAATCATTTGATGCCTGTGTGATCTAGAATTAGAAATAAACATAAATGTATTGAAGTGGGTGGGGGAAGGGTTTAAAAAGATAACAAAGACAAGAGCTGAAAGAACCATCCTGAGCACTGAGGCAGAAAATCAAAGCGACTGGGGAGGCGGGGGGTGGTTACTTCCGAGCACCTTAAATTTGAGTTGGAAAAATGTTTAGGGAGTTCTTAAGGCTTCCAACTGAACTTTCATTTTATCCAAAAGTAAGCACGTTTTTTGTCTCCTTGGGAAATATTCTGATGTGTTTCTGTTTCATTTGCTTAATGATATCATGGATGATTATTTTTTAATTAAGGAGAGTTTGGTTTGTAAGCATTTTAAATGTCATCCGTTTGGCTGATATTTAAAACTCAGGCTGAGGGGCGCCTGGGTGGCTCAGTTGGTTAAGCGACTGCCTTCGGCTCAGGTCATGATCCTGGAGTCCTGGGATCGAGTCCCACGTTGGGCTCCCTGCTCAGCAGGGAGTCTGCTTCTCCCTCTGACCCTCCCCTCTCTCATTCTCTCTCTGTCTCTCAAATAAATAAATAAATAAAATCTTTTAAAAAAATAAAAAATAAAACTCAGGCTGAGTTTGAGCTTTTTGTTCTTCTGCCCTTCCCATGCTTTAAACTCATGGTCTCAGTGATTTTGAAAACTAAGGATTTCAATTATTTCAAAACTAGGAAACCAACAAGAGTTACTGCACTTTAGCTTATATAAGTGGTACAAAAATTCTTGCTCATTTTGATAATAGATAAATGATGGGAACCCAGTAAGCTAGGAAGTATCTCTTCATCTGTCTTGCAGGAAACATGCTCTCTGGTTAAGAAGAGAACACAGATAGTTGATGATGCCGTGCAGATATGTTGGAGCCAGTGATCAAAGGAGGAAGTACTGAAGTAGGAAGATTCCTCCTCAGAGAGGCAGAGCTGGGCTAAGGCATCTGTTGAAATCTATTAACTGTAACAGCAATGTCTCTATGATGTCAGGCCCACTTCATAAAATAAAGCATAATCAATTTGTGAGATTTTCAGCCACTATTATATCATGTCCCTGCCTCATATAGCTTATAACGATTCTTTTTTAAAGATTTTTATTTGAGAAAAAGATAGCAACAGATCGTGAGAGCACAGGCCGGGAGGAGAGGGAGAAGCAGGCTCCCTCCTTAGCAGGGAGCCTGATGCAGGGCTCGATCCCAGGACCCCAGGATCATGAACTGAGCTGAAAGCAGGCAGTTAACTGACTGAGCCCCCCAGGCGCCCCTATAACGGTTTTTCTAAAAGCTTATCATTACTAACCAAGATTGGCATCCTTTAGAGTCCTAGCAGCAAGGTGTGCTGTGCTTTGAGGCCAGGCAGGCTAGGTTCACATCCCTGCCCTTACACTGTGGACTTGGGCAGTTTATTCAGCCTCTCTGAGCATCTTTGCACATTTGTAAAACAGGTGATCATGCCTACTTCAAATGATGGATTTGGAGATTAGGATCCACATATGAAAATTCACAGCATACCCTTTCGCATTATGCTCATTTAAAAGTAAACTTGCTTCTAACACTTAGGATATTTTTATATATCCATCCTGAGACTTAGCAAAGTTTCTTGTTCCATCAGCTCTTAGCTTCTCCATCCAGATCCAGGACTCCTGGATAGCTATCTGTACTTAAATCTGGGAGCAATTCCGGATTCTGCAGCCCACAGTTTTCAGGCATTTGACATTGAGTGATTGTACAAGTGCAAATTTCACATTTCTGGTTCATGTAGCTAAACCAAATAGTCTTACCTATTTCTTGAACTAAAAAGTTCTAATAGAAAAGCAAGAATAGGAACTTAAACTCATCAGTAAGACAGCTATCTTAGTTCAGGCTACTGTAACATTTACCATAGGTTAGGTGGCTTAAACAACAGACATATTTCTCATGGTTCTGTAGGTTGGAAAGTCCAAGATTAAAGGTGGCGGGAGATTTATTTCCAGATGAGGGCCCTCTTCCTGGCTTACAAACAGCTGCCTTCTTGCTGTGTCTTCACATGGTGGCAAGAGAGATCATCTTTCTCATTTCTTCTAGTAAGGACACTAATCCCATCCCATTGGGGATTAAAGGCTTCAACATATGAATTTGGGGGAGTGGGACACAAACATTCAGTCCATAGCAACAACTAATAAAAGGTAGTTGAAAGTTTAATTTTTACTGTTTAAACCTGCCAGGCTATTTTCTATGGTTACTAACATTTTTCCCCTTTATAATTCCATTTCTTAGCTGAAGTGCAAAACTGTCTCTTGTTGAACACAGACTGTGTCTGTGGTAATGGATGGCTAACTGAAACACCGTCCAAGACCAGGCAGGTACACATAATTAAGAATAGGCCACCGCAGACCAGAGCATGCCCCCTCAGAGGAGAGCAGCTCATACCCCACCCAGTAGAAATGGGCTTCTGGGTATTTGTTTTTAAGGCTGGAAATCTGGATTTATATGTGAAATGTCAGGTTGATACTGGATGTATTGTTGCTTTTTTTTTCTTTTTTTTTTTTATGATAAGCTAAACAAAGTATTTCTGCTGACTGGTCTGCTTCGTGGGGCACCAGTTGATCACCTTTTCTTTTCTCTGTCCCAGTATCTTGTCCAAAGGGTACTTGGAAGTGTTTGCCTGAATGGTCTGATTCCATACCTTTTCACTTACATATGGATAATGTTTTATTTCAGCCATAAATCATGATTCATAGTCTTCACTGTTTACACCAACTATCATGATTAAAAGCATGTGATTTCAGGGAAAACAAAAGCAGGCTCTATTTGTACTCTGCCCAGAAAAGTCTCACTTTGGTATTTAACTCCTGATTTTTATCAGAATTCCACCAGGTATTGTTATAAATGCACTAGTGCACCTTGCCTTGTAAATTGCATATGGTTTCAGGGTGGGGAAGTTGTCTTAAGTTACTCTTGAAAAACCAAAATTAAATTGTTGAAACTCCTAAAATAACTTCTCCATACTGGTGGTTTATGATTATGATTTAACTCTCCAACAGTGAGACTTACAATGGGAGTTAATAACCTGCCAGTAAATGAGGATAATCTACCATGATAATCTGCTCAGATAACCACTTTCGTAAACTTCCGGTAAGCCACTTGAGGAAATAAATTTAAAAATGCAGTTTCTTTTTGTAATTGCAATTTATAGAATTTTAGCTTTGAAATACTTCTCTTTTGAAGTACAATCTGTCAAAATGGGTATCTTGACTTTTCTTTGGGATACTAAGTAGAGCAGGAGAAAGAAGTAATGAAGGAATAAGTTCTGGTTCTCAAACAGTGGCCCTATTGACTGATCGCTTTCTCCAGTTTTTCTTATTATGCAAAAGAACAGTCATTGTGTGCCATGTAGCGTAAGCAAATGTGACTGTCTCAAGTTACTGTGGGTCCTTTCCAGCCTTCACGTCTCCCTGCCTTCTCCTGAAGATGACCCTGAACACGAGTCTGGAAGGAGGTTAATCTTTCTTTTACTTTCAACAGGTGGAATACATGTTGGTGTCTTTTGATCATGAAAATAAGAAAGTCCGGTTGGTCCTGTCCGGAGAGGAAGTTCTTGAAACTCTACAAGAAAAGGGGGAAAGGACAAACCCAAAGTAAGCTGATAAACCAAAGGGTTGCTTTAGTGTTTCTGAACCTGCTAGAACTACTAAAGTAGAATCGTTCTTCAGATGTAGGAGGCAGGATGGCATCGCCTGGTTCCCCTACTTCATAGATGGGTGTAACCTTGGGCAAGTTACTTAATGTCTCTATGCCTCTGTTTCTTCATCTGTAAAGTAGAGATAGTAATACCTCCTGTGTAGGGTGAGTATTTAAGCACTTAGAACTATCAACACAGTATAAAGCCTGCTTACTATTACTAAATGTTAAAAAAAAAAACAAAAACACATGGACAGAGTGTTACTGAGATCCCAAACCATGGTGCCAGATAAAACTTACACTGAGTTTATTTGGCTGGTAGGATGTTTTTTAATATTTCTCTAAGTAGACAAAGAGGTGAAGGGGCATGTACTTTTCAGTTCCATTTTCCTACTCCAGCGACTTCGGGAGGCAGCATTTGAGTTTGGAGGCCAGCAGTGAATTGAAAGAGCCCTTATGGCCTCCTCCCCTTTCTCACAAAGTGGACTAGCTTGTCTTGAAGAGCGAGTGGCCTGTGTGTGGTTTTCAGTTACTTACAAATATTTTGGATATTTGTACTTCTAACCCTCACCTAGTTGAAGAGCTCAGGAGAATGACCAGCCTTTGGGAACTATAAAGGAATTCTTAGCTTCATTTAATATGGAGTGGTGTCTCCATTTTTGGAAGTGACTTTTTAAAAACTTCTAAAAATTGAGTAGACGGCAGCAGAATATGAGGGAATGGAATTTTTCCTCCTCTGTAGCCATCCTACCCTGTGGAGACCAGAGTATGGCAGTTACATGATTGAAGGTACACCCGGACAGCCGTATGGAGGAACAATGTCCGAGTTCAACACAGTCGAAGACAACATGAGGAAACGTCGGAAGGAAGCGACTTCTTTATTAGGAGAAAACCAGGCTCTCTGCACAATAACTTCATTTCCCAGGTTAGTTCCTAAATGAACATGCCCCAGCAGATCGTTCAGAGCTTTAGGTTCTAAAAGAACAGATCATGACCCACGCATTTGACCATACAGTTCTCCTACTTTACAGACAGTTCATACTTTATATGCTGCATTTGATAGAATCTGTAATGTTAGAGCCACAGGCAAAACTTGCGTGCCAGTTTCAGCAGGTGGGTGGTGGCCCGGGGCACTGTGGTGAGAGCATTCGTCTGGCCTCAGTGGGCAAGACCGTGAGGACCACCGTGACTGCTAGCATCGTGGTGGCATCCACCCCAGGTCGGGGTGGGGGGAGCGGCGCGTCTGCCAAGCAGTTCTGACCCTGTAAGGAGTAGCTGAGTCTGATGATTATCAGGTGCTCTTCTCACTCGACTCTCACCGTTGCTTCCTTGGGCCTGTTTGCCTGCTGGCAGATGCTGGTATTGGTGGCCGGTGGGATGGTCACCTGGTGAAGGGCTGGCATCCGTGCTCCCAGGCCACTGCTGATACATCCTAACTGTGAACGAGGGGGGTCATTAGGCCATGTTTGAGTCTTGTGTTGAAAAGGAAATTTACAGGTTGTCATCAAATCTAGCTATGGCTGAAAGTTGCTAAAAATAAATATAAAAAAACCATAAATAGTGAAGCTATGCTCTTAGCTAGAATGAGGTACATAAATATCGTACAGTTACACATAGGAGCTCTGCATAGGAATGCAGTTCTACCAAATTGTAAATCTGACTTACCTGTGCTAGCTGTCAGATTGTGGCAAAGTATGCTTCCTCCTCAGGGTTCAAAAGAGCTTTGGGGATTGGTATCCATAGACTGAAACACTTAGAACTATTTTTATACCATCCCTCTTTTTTCTGATAAATGTCCATAATGAACTCAGGCGTTCGGAATCCTACCACTGGTCTTGGAAGGGATTTTCTTTTTAAAAATCTTCAGTGTAACATCTAAATGGTTGAAACCCTATTTAAGCAACTCAAACATTTAGAGATACATCTCTTATTTTCTGTGATTGCTTTGTTCCATTAGGCAGTCCACTCCCTGCTTCCTGCCAGAAGAAAAGCCCCAGCTGGATGAGGGTGGACAGGTTTGCTTGGAAGAGAGTTGGCATAGTCCTTTGCGCCTAGTGTTTTAAGGAGGAGGTAAAAAAAAAAAAAAAAAATCATGACTGCCTTTCACTCAGATACTTGAGAGCCTGCTCCATGCCAGAGCCATGCAGTGTGGGGATGCAGTCATGAATACAAAGAGACACACAGTCTTTGCCTCTGCGGAGACTGAGTGATCAGATAGCCACAGATCTAGGGAATATAAAGTTGAAGTGCTGGGAGGAAAAGATGCGGAGCAGAGAGTGGGACGTGGTTGTCAGGTGGACTCTGTGAGGTGGGGAAGAGGATTGGAATGATGTCCAGAGTCCTGGTACGACTTTACTACGAGTGGGGAGGGGAGGGACAGCCTAGAGAGAGTGAGCAGAATGGGCAAATGTCCCAGGATGAATAGGGAGAGCACGGAGCCTCTTGAGAACCAGAAGAAGGCTGGCCGGTGGGGCCAGGACTCTGAGAGGGAAGGGGAGGTTGGGCAGGTAGTTGGTGGGCCAGATCCTGTTAACTGAGAATTTGGGTTGCTATCCTAAAAGCAGTAGGAGTTACTATAAAGGGAGCGCTGAGACAGAGGAATAAGTTTTTTTCTAAAAATCTAATTTTTTTTAAAACTTATATTTTTTGACGGGAGGGTATTTTTGGACTTGTAAACAAAACAAGAATAATAATTATTTAGTTGGAGAAGCCTCACCTTCTATCAGTCGTAAATGATAAGGAAAGTTTTGTTTTGGCATCGAGAGAGAAAGGAGTACTTGGTTTCTTAAGTGTAAACTGTGTGATTTTTCTCTGTAAAGAGGCAAAACTCTGTATCGTGGAGCTATAATCCAAAACAGTGCCCAAGTGAATATTTAAATTTAAATTAATGACACTTAAATAGAAATTTTAGTTTCTCAGTCACACTAGGCTCAGTTCAGGTGCTCACTAGGCACATGTATTGGACACACTGGTATTGGACAGGGTGGACATGAAACCTTCCAGTGCTGCAGAAGGGTTTGTGGGATGGTGCCAGTCTGGAAGAAAAACAGTGCTGTAGGAGTCTGAGGATCAGAGTTCTGACTGTCTCTGTCCTGCCAAACACATTTTCATTCTCCCTCCATTCAGTCTAATTCTGGTTGCCTCGGAATCCTCAAGGTTGAAGTCTGCCACTCTTACAGGATTTTCCCTAAGTTTGCAGGCTCCTAGTAAATAATGCACACAACTGCAAGAATTCTCAGGAACCTTCATTATAGCTGGAAACGGTTTTCCAGATAAGATCAGCAAATTCCATTGTTGTTCACAAGGCGGATATGGGCAGCCAACAGGTGCTTTATTTTATAAAAGGTAGGGGCTGAACATAAGGCATGGGTAGTCTTGGCTCTTAAGCCCAGAGTTTCCTACCACTGATCTAAAGCCCTGGCAAGAGCCTCCCTTGTTTTGTATTCACAAACTTTGTCGGTCTTTGTCCTGTCTCACAGCACATTTAACAATGACCTTAAAATTCTTAACTTGAAGAGCTGGATGTGGAATTTGAACTTTACTTTTAGGGATAAAGACAGAGGTTCCTTTTTCTGTGTTGGAATTAAAGCTCTTGGTTAGGTCAAGTAAGAGAATAGGGTTGGGTCTTAGACATCAGAGGGAGATCTTGGAGGCGGATGGGGACACCTCTAGAGACACTACCTAATCCTGAGGGACTCATGAGGTGATCTGTAGAGGCAAAAAGCAGGAGAGCCCTTTGATATTTGAACAAGGCTTATCAACAGGTTGGGGGCAGTGGGGCTGTGCAGGGGTCAAAAAACAATCAGATGAGAGATGAGATGATGAAGACCATCGGACGCTGTGTAGGGGGAACCTATAGCCTGTGACAATTGACGTGACCTAGCCAAGGGACTTCTGTGCTGTTGGTGCTCTCTGTTAAATGAAGAGATGGATAGGACGTGAAGAAGCACTCTAGAGATCCCGAGTGAATGGATAAAGTCTCTAACAGGCTGTAATCACCAAAGATGTCGGTGAGGAAGACCAAGTACAAGGGGGGTGTTTGTAAAGCACGGTACTTACACAGCATTCATGTGCTAGACTCCTGGTAGGGGGGAAAGTAGACGGGGGTGGGTGGTTCTTAATAGGTGCAGTGATGGTGAGACGTTATTAACTTCTGAAAACAAATCCTGCCTACTTAGTTCTTCAATTTGTTGTAGATTAGGCTGTCCTGGGTTCACGCTGCCAGAGTTCAAACCCAGTCCAGTTGAAGGAGGAGCTTCCAAGTCCCTCTTCTTTCCTGATGAAGCCATAAACAAGCACCCCCGCTTCAGGTGAGTATGGCTCTGCCTTTAAACACAGATGTCCCTCACTCTTACCCCCGTGCCTGCTGAGAGTAAGGCGCTCCTTCCTAGAATCCTTGCTGAGCACTTACTGAACTCAGCCTCCTATTGTCATGAACCGGAGAAGCCAGCAGGATATACACATGTGGCTGCTTGATCCTTGCTTTTTAGAGCACAGCTCGACTTGCCCATCTTACAGGTCATCTTAAAGTCGTTGGCTTAGCCACTGTCGTCTTAAGTGTACAGATTTTTTCAGTCCTAGTTTTATAAGCGCCTATTTGGGGAAGTTTTCTTAGTTATTCCTACCTTTTCTCCCCCTCTCTGTGATCTCATTCCACTTACTATACTTTCATGACAAGGCAAGATATGTACAACTCTTTACCTTCTATTCTATTAACTTCTAGCTCTAGTAGCTTGTAGTTTCATTCCTGGGTTCAAAGTGGCTTCAGGGCCCACAACAGTCTGATCTTACTTTGTACCTTGAATCTCCTCTATAGTCCTAAACTAGGCTCCTGACCTGCAGGTGGGGCCCTTGGGACTTGCCAGTGTTGATTCCTTTGACAGGTCTGCACACCTGTTAACATGCAGAGTCTTTTGATGGAACAGATTTATAGATGGAGTTTCCAACTTCAAATGTTACAGTGTGCCCAAGGGGAAAATAGATTCAGCTGCAAGAAAAGATAAGATTATGCTGGATGCCAAAAGGTAGATGCATCAGAGACCCTCCTTAGAGAAAGGAGAGGATGCTTCTGATGGAGGGGATCCTGGCAACCATGGGAAAGAGCTGGTCCGCAAGCTGAGTCTGCATCACCACTGTCCACTAGAATCATGTCAGCCTCAGATGTTTGAAATTTTCTAAGTCACATGAAAATAAAAAAGATGAATTTAATTTTATTATATGTTATTTAGTTTTTATCCAAAATTATTTCAAAATGTCAAAGTTTTAAGTTATTGATAAGATATTTTACCTTATTTTTGTGTTTTGTAGTAAGTCTTCAAAATCTGGTGTGTATATTATCCTCAGAGCATATTTTAATTAGGACTAGCCCCATTTCAAGTGCACAGCAGCCACAGTGTGCCTGGTGGCTTCTGGATTAGACACTGTGGGTCTAGAGAATAGGTATTAATACTGCCAATTGGGAGGGACAGTAACAAGGTATTGGAGCTCCAGAGATGCCTAGGGAAAGTAAGTATTAAAGCTTGAAGTCTTCGGAGTAGACATGGGATGTGTTAGAAACGTATGGTGAGACCAGACCACCAGCAGACCCCAGACACTTGAATTTGATTTGAGAAGTTACAGCAAGCTGGGGTATCTGGGGTTGAACAGGGGAGACAATGGCGTTCTTGAGCAAGAGGCAGAGGAAGTGGTGTTAATGCAAAGCCTTCTCACAGAAAATTCCCTCAGAATATCTTGATCCACATAAATATTCTATAGGATTGCCTCAGAGAATTAGTTTGAGGTAGGATTTCATTCTATTTACTTGCATATGATCAAATTCTTCTTTTACATGGTGGTTCTTAGGAGGCCGATTTATGACGTTTGGTTGTCTTTCAGTACCCTAACAAGAAATATCCGACACAGGAGAGGAGAAAAGGTTGTCATCAATGTACCAAGTAAGTCCACAGCGGATGGTGGGGTGGGAGAGGCACCTGGGGAATTGCTGTTTGAATCTTGAATCTCACCCTTGTCCGCCTTTTTTTTTTCCTTTAATTTAATTCTACAGTATTTAAGGACAAGAATACACCCTCTCCATTTATAGAAGCATTTCCTGAGGATGAGGAGGCAGCCAAGGCTTCTAAGCCTGATCATATTTACATGGATGCCATGGGATTTGGGATGGGCAATTGCTGTCTTCAGGTATTGTTTCAAATACACAGAGGCAGAGTGCCCTCATCCATTTCTACTTACTAGTTTTCTTTATAGATTCGTATTTTTTACAATTACATTGTAATCAGGTTGAAATGAAAGCCAAGTGTGCCTTTCTGAAAACCAGTGATTTTTAGTAAATTCATTGGTAGCTATCTCTTGATGGGGAATCTCCAGTTTACTACAAAGATAAATGGTTGTTACTTAACTTACAGTGCGAAATATTCTATGATCCCTGCCTCTGTTCTTTCTAGTGATGGTCGGGCCTAGAGCTTGTAACATCATTCAGATCTCTGTTTCTGAAAGTAACCTCTGGATGCACTCCAGTGACCTTGTGATCCAAGGGAAGGATTGTTTGGACTTGAAATGTTCATATTCAGGCAAGGCCATCTAGTGGTATAAAAAGAACTACTGAGCAGCCCGTGTTTGCCTTGCCCCTGGCGAAGTCACATCGGTGGTACAGCCTTTCTGTGTTTTCTCCGTTAAAACTTCCCGTGGATCTAGTCAGATGGCTGGTGCCCCTGGCAGGAACTGTACCCAAGCTCACTTAGGACCTGGGTGGGCGGGCACAGGACCCTCCTGGTGGCAGTGGGCCTGTGGTTGGCCTGCAGCTGGGCCTCCTACTCGTGGGTTTGGGTAGCTCTCCTCACTTCTTTTCATCTTGGTTTTCTCCTTGGTTAACTGGAAGGTTTATATTAAATCCCTTTCTAGGTCTGACTCTAAGCTAATATTTACTTTGCTGTTTTTTATCAATAGAAGTGCTGGTTTTAACCTTTCCTTTGCTTAAAATCATGAGAACAGGAGTAGGAGTTGCACAACGTATAAAGTGAAAATTGAAAACTTCCAGCAAAAAGGCCACTTGTTATTGTCCAAGGAGATTGTATGCAGTTCGGATTATTTCCGAAGATTAGAAGTGGCGTCCTTAGAGGCCTGGAGTAGTGTGAAGCCTAGCCCCACATCAGTCACTGGGCCTCCAGTCTGCCCAGTCTCCATCCAGAGGCCAAAAAACTCTGCATTCCCATCATCTCAGTTGCAGTGTAGACAGGCGCCTTCTTGCACATAAAGCTCTGATGTGCTTATTTTTACAACTCTGTAAAATGAACATTGAATGCCAGAGTCCGATTGCTCCATGTTGAATGTGTTCACATAACCATCTTTTTTTTTTTTTTTTCCTGATTTTCCTGACTCACAAAGGCAGTATAAAGTGTGTGGTCTTCCAAGAAAACAGGCCAGTAAGTTTCCTTACAAAGGGTCACATTTCATAAAAAGGAGACCTTTTTACTTTTACCTGCATATCTGCTTTTCTATCTTAATTACAAATGTTTTTAAAGAGAACCATTAAGCTCTAGAACTTACAGTGCATGGCTTTAAAATTGTAACAGTGTAATTGGAGTACTGATTGCCTTTTCTCGGTTTAATATTAAACCAAAGTGCCTGGCCAGGGACAGCACAGTTACTTCATTCCAAAGGGATAGTCTTTCTCTTGAAATACCATACAAATAAATGTGTTCTAACATTTTTATTACCTGTAGATGCAATTTTCCATCCAAATTTACACTTTGTCATGGGTTTAGGATGAAGTTTTCTTTTTGTTGGTAGCACGTCCAAGACCCTACTTTGAATACTCCACTTAAAAAATTATTAGCATGAATCACATAAAGTTTATGGGAAATGAGATGAATTCCACACATCACCACAGAAAACACCCTGCTTTGTGTCTCTCAAGTGGAAAACTAGAAACTGCTTGTTAAAGTAAAGCAGAAAATGTTTTAAAGTAATTTTTTAAGGTTAATGGAAGACTTAACTGTACAAAACAGAAAGTCACATAATCACATTCAAATGCTTGACTCTTGGGGAGTTTTCCAGGAATCATTTAATAAGTTCGTGCACGTTGTAATAGGTATTTCTCCCTCTAAGAAAAATCAGGTGGCTTCAAAAGTGGGTTCTAGGTAAATTTTAGATTAGACATCTAGTTTTCTAACATCTATTTTTCATACTTCCTTTTTTCCCCTCTGTTTCCTAGTGACACTGCTTTTCCTCTTATGAGATACTTTTAAAGGGACACCAGAAGCCAAAACTGTTCATACTTTTGAAGGCATAAGAACTCCCCCCCGCCACCCCCCCGCCCCTGCACTTCACTGTTGTAACTTAACTGTGGAATTCCAGGTGCGAATTTTCTTAAGCATACTTTTTTCCAGGATTTGCCTGTGAATTGTCTAGTAAATACTAAGTCATCTAAGAGAAGCCAATCTGTCCCAGCAGAGAAGTATGTAAATACTTGGCTTACTGTCTCCCGTTTCCTCGCTTGACATGTTATCCTTAGCCTTGCACAAGCTGATTTCTGAGTTCCCACCTCTTTGCAGAAACTGCCCTTGTTTTGGTGAAGAGTGACCCAATTGCCAACCCTGCTTAGTCTCTTCCTTTAACCTTTGATAGTCTTATTCCTTGAGGTCTAGGACACAGCTCTTCTCTATGTTGTATTAATTTGTAATGGCTGGTTAATTGCCAGGGCATTTTAATTAAAATATAGCGTTGAATCATTAACAGAAATTATAGCAAGTTGTCTAAATAATTATTTTTCTGTAGTTACCACACTGACGTGAATATAATTCTCCAGGTAGACGGTGAATCTCCTAACAGAAGTTCTTTGTTAAAAAAGCAAAATTGAGACCTGGCTAAAACTGGGAAATAACAGGTTGGGATTATAACAGTAAACATTCACTCTGCTACTCTTTCAAGGATTAAGCCCTTATTTATTTCCTACACCAACACTAAATTCAAAATATCATTATTAAATAACAGAGGACAGGAAAACTGTTCCCCATTTGCAGTTAATACAGATATGCTATAACCCAACCAGGATTTGTGTTCCTAGTCTCTTCCACTGCTCCCCACCCCAAGGCAGGCAGGCCTTTTTTGGTTTCTTTTGGGTAACTGTTTCTAGAACATTTGTACTAATGAATGATACGATTTTTTTTTCTCTGCCTAACTCTGAAATGTTCTACTTACGCCTCTTCTGCAGGCTTCCTGGGTGATCCTGCCCATCTTCAGAACATTATCTGAGCTTCCTCCATAAATACTTCTTCACCCCAGACTTGTCTTCTGGGCATTAGCCCTGGAGACCCAGCCACTTAAAGCGTTTCTTTACGTGCTCCTTTCCTTCATATGCCCATCATGTCTTGGTGCCTCTGCTCACTGTCTGTCCCAGGAACACCCAAGCCAAAACCTAAGTCACACCTTTATTCTCTCTACCCCCGCCCCACCCCGGCTCCCAGCGGCCACTGCTTTGACTCCGGTGTGCCTCCTCCTACAGCCCTCCTTGGTTAGTCAGCTGCATATTTTAACTGCTCTCCTTTCCTCCAGTCTCACTGTGTCCCAGGCTATTCCTTGTACTTGCCACCAGTGAGCTTTGAAATCTATTATGAGCATCTCTATCCTTTTGTACCAAAATTTCTCTAACCCTTGAGCTAACTGAAGTGCCTGGGATGCTGTCGAGGGAAATAAGTCACGGCGATGCCTTGCTGAACTTGCCATTTACCTAGTGTCTTCCTTTCCTTTCCTGACATTTTAATCCTATTTAACTTAGGAAATGGTTATATTAGTTGTGAACATGATCAAATGCCATTGTTTGGCAAAATTCATCCAAGGCAACTTTTAAAAACAAAACTGCTATGTTAATAAGTGTTGTTAGCTGTGGAGTGACCGTTGCACACCATGCCCTCTGTCTTCCCTGGCCATCCTCCTCCTCAGACTCGACTCCTTGGGGAGGATGTTGATGATTCATCATTGTTAATAACCTGTAATTTTTAAACAGGTAACGTTCCAAGCCTGCAGCATATCTGAGGCCAGATACCTGTACGATCAGTTGGCCACTATCTGTCCAATTGTCGTAAGTAGAAACGACATCTTACTTAAAAGACTTCTTTGTAGAGAGAGTGCTTGTGCAACATTTGCTGACTCTGTGCCATTTAAGTCCAGTTAAAACTTTATTCAGAAATGAACTAACATAAAGAGTTTGCATTTAGAGCTAATGGACTTACTCCAAGCTGTAGAAGTTTACTATTGCTAGTAAGACATCTGTGTGTTAAAGTGTCAAGTTTGAGTGTAGCCGTTTCCCCTCTCCCGTCCTTCACATTCAGTGTGACAGAGGGGATGATTAAATGAATCCCATCCAAGGATTTGAGTCCCTTTTGGTATCTTTCACTATGAAAAAGCAAGCACAGAGGAGTAGAGCTCCATAGGGCTCACCTAAACTGATTCTTCTGGACCAGAGATAACTGCATGGTGCTTTTCTCAGCGTGTAAGTGACACTTTGAACCTGCAGGTGCTGACTCTTGTTTGTTTTTAGATGGCTTTGAGCGCTGCATCTCCTTTTTACCGAGGCTATGTGTCTGACATTGATTGTCGCTGGGGAGTGATTTCTGCATCTGTAGATGATAGAACTCGGGAGGAGAGAGGACTGGAGGTGGGAGTGATTTTCCTTAATAGCCTTTTTTTAAAAATCAAGCAGGTAAAATGGGGTTATTGTAATTACTTATAATGTTGAAGTCTCCCTTAAATTTTTATCTTGAGTGGTTTAGTCACAGGTGGGAAGAAATTCACAGGTTATAAATTTGTCTTTGATGTCATAGTGTTTGTTTTGGGGTGAATATATAGGAAACATGATTTGGTTGGGGTAAGGAGTTTTCATCACTTTTTGAAATCTGTATTTGTTTCCTCCTCTTCTAAAACTTAGTGATGCTTTTTTTTCCCCTATATTTTGGAACTAAGTGCTGATGGGCTATTGTTACCAAAAGGCTTTTTGATACTGCATGAGTGCTTTGTATATGAGCTTTCTGCTGTGGAATCTGTGGTCAAAGATTATTTTGCCCCATATAAAGGGTTAGATTTGCCTAGTAAGGGTAGGTTAGTGCCTCTTGTTTGCATGTTGAACTGTGACTGTGTACCTCTCCAACCTGGAGTGTGCATCAAAACCACCTATGAAGATCTTTAAAAATAGACACCCAGGCCCATTTTAGATCTAATAAACAAGTATCTCCAGAACTGGGACCTGGACATGGTTTTTAAATGAGCCTCTGATGTTCTCAACCAGGGCTGCACTGGTCTGCTCTGGTCTTCATGTGAGTGCTCATAAATTGTTGAACATGTTGCCTGAGTAGAATAAAACTTTAAGGGAGAAATGATTTTAATAGCTCTGTTTTACGTTAATAGGTTTGCTTTCAACCTTGGCATGTATTTTCCTAGCTTAATAAGAATGAAGGCGATCTGCTTTAAAAAAAAATATATATATACTTAAGTCATATCAGAGAGCAGCTACTTAAGTTACTTCCAGATTTTTAAAAAACAATTTTCCCTGATAACATCTCAGGATTAACTTTTTTTCAGGTTGGATATTTATATATAATTATTACATATAAAACATAAAAGCATTTATTTCCAGAGCATTTTATATGACATTCATTTGTATTTTTTTTCAATTTTAGCCACTGAAGAACAATAACTATAGGATCAGTAAGTCCCGATATGATTCGATAGACAGTTACTTATCTGAGTGCGGTGAGAAGTACAATGACATCGACTTGACGATAGATAAAGAAATCTACGAACAACTGTTGCAGGAAGGTGAGCAGCCACTCATTTTCTCTAGATTTGATTGCACACTTTTAGTTATTCAAAGCTCTTTAGAACTTGTTGCTGACTTCTGGTCTGGTTTCTATTTTTAGTGTGAAGTCTCTTAACTTTTCTTATGAGGCTGCTTGTTCCTAAAGTTTCAAGTTCCAAATACTTGTGAGATCTTCTTGACTTTTAGCAAAGGAACTTACTTTGGAGGTCTGTATCTAGGTCCACACCAGTGCCCCACCAGGCATTGTGTAAGTAGCAAAGAAAATTCTGGCACTTTCTCAGGGTCTGTAGGATAAAACCCTGGGCAACATGCAGATACTGAACAAACCAGCCACTTCCTAAGCTTTTAGATGCCCTGTCTTCAAACTTGCTGAGCTGTCCTGTCTTCTTACTGGACTTAGACACAATGGAGCCTGTGGCTTTGATGGGAGTCTGGTGTAACCTCTCTTGACAGGCATTGATCGTCTCCTGGCCCAGCATGTTGCTCATCTCTTCATTAGAGACCCACTGACTCTGTTCGAAGAGAAAATACACTTGGATGATGCCAATGAATCTGACCATTTTGAGGTATCACCTCTGTTTTAAATGCATTGCACTTCACTAACCAAGATGGAGGCCATTTTCTGTACCTGTGAGCAGTTATAGGAGAAATCTCTTGACGCCTTTCACTGTCTAGTGCAATAAAGAATTAAGAAATTTTAGATTGGTTTAAAGTACCCTTATTTTATGATTCTGACAAGTTATATCTGATTTTGCATTTTTTCTGTATTTTCTCTTGATTGCAGAAAGGTGAAAAATTCAAACTTGCTGCGTAAAAAAAAATGGCATCAATTATTTCTGTGCTGCCAGCATATCACCCAACTTTTGTTAAACACTTTGTTTTCCTAGTAGGTCACACACCAAGGAAATACTACATTGTACCTTTTTGTATTTGTAAATTAAAGAGTATTTGGTATCAGCAATGAATAATTTTCCCTTATTAAATATCAAGCCATCTTAATATTATCCTGGACATGTGGAAAGTTGGTTTTATTTTCTGCTTTTTTTATTATAGAATATTCAGTCCACAAATTGGCAGACGATGAGATTTAAACCCCCTCCTCCAAACTCAGATATTGGATGGAGAGTAGAATTCCGACCCATGGAGGTAAGATGCACATCAGCAGGAAGTGATTCGATCATGCCCATCCTCTGCCCATTACCCTTCTAATGCTCTTCTCAGAGGCTCTTCAAATACAAATCAAATATGTGCATAATAAAAGCAGGTCCAAAACCTAAAGATTGACTTCTGAGAATAGATTGTGGACAGAGGGCTTCCAAGCCCCACGTGGTGAAGTAGGAGCTGGCTTGGGCATGACATGATCTGAGGAGGGGCCTGTCGGGGAAGAGCATGTTTGTGTAGTTGGTCCATAACTTCTCTGGGCTCCTGCTTGTCTAGGTTCAGTTAACAGACTTTGAGAACTCTGCATATGTGGTGTTTGTGGTGCTGCTTACCAGAGTGATCCTTTCATACAAACTGGATTTTCTCATTCCACTATCAAAGGTAAGAATGTGTTTCGGTATAGTGATGGGTTTGGGTATCTACAGATTATTATCTGTTGCTTATTTATGTATAATATTTATTTTAGATCTGACCTGATGGAGAATTTTCACCATTTAGAATAAAATGGCTTCTCCTCTACCCTATTCTTTTTCCTTTTAAACCAAAGCTTATGCTGTAGATTTTGGTACTGCATTAGTAGAGATTCCTGGAAAACAAAAAGTGCTAACAGTAGCTCCTTAGCCTGTTTGAAAGAGATTTAGTTGTTGTTGTTTTTTAAAGATTTTATTTATTTATTTGACAGAGACAGTGAGAGAGGGAACACGAGCCGGGGCAGTGGGAGAGGGAGAAGCAGGCTTCCCACTGAGCAGGGAGCCCGCTGCGGGGCTCGATCCCAGGACCCTGGGATCATGACCTGAGCCGAAGGCAGACGCTTAACGACTGAGCCACCCAGGTGCCCCTTAGGGTTGCTTTTGAATAACTACTTTATTTCTAGAAGCTTTCAATTTAGGATGATGGTTGGAGAGAATCCACAAGTTGATTTCATCCTCCCCCAAATGCCGTTTTGGTTATGATAGTAAAATAGGAGAGGGGCAAGTGTAACTGCTGGGATGCAGGGAAAGGTCACCTCAGTGGAATCAAACTGGAGATGTTTCTGGAGAAGGTAGATTGGACTATCAGAAAAACAACTACTAGTTCATCAGCTCCAGCCCAATAAAAACTCAAAAAGGAGCTCTCTGGAAGCTGTTTCCCAGCAGAGCCTTGGAACAATTCCAGACTGTGAGGCAGCAGCTAACTAACTGGAGACCTTTGCTTCCAGGGCCAGTGGGTCCCTGGGCGCAGCAGGGAGCTGGGAAAGGTTGCTGGGCTGAGTGAGGGGTCTGCTGAGGATTTAGTGCCAAAGAAAGGAGAGGAAGAGCAGCCCTGTCAGAGCAAGCACGGAAGGAAAAAAGAAATGCCTAGCTCAGCCTCTGTCCCACCTCACTCCCTACTATCTCCATGAGGGGGATCTCCATGCTGTGGCTGTCCCACCTGCACACCCTGAGTGAAGTTTGGCCTCAGCCTGTCTCTGCCTGCTCTTAACACCCAGGCCAAAAGTAACCCATAGGATTCTATGGGCCATTTGCCCATACAGGTATACCTGCTAAGGAGGATCAGCCCCTGTAAGGAAGAGTCCCTGGAAGTTCCCCATCTATGCTTTTGTTAACAAATATGAATAGATGTCTGAAAGTCAGTGGAAAATGGATAACTTTTAATGCCTTAAGGGAAGGGCCCAGCTGGGCTTACAGAATGCATTCCCCTCAGTGAAATATAGTTAATTCAAGCAACTGGAAAGAATTCTTAAAGAAATTCTAATTAGTGCCCTTGAAAAAATTCTAGAGAAAATAACCAAGCACTATGGAGGAGAGAGCATTTGGAGAAGAGTTCTTAGAAAAAGCTACACTTTTAAAACTCAGTATATTCACCAGTTAAAGCCAACGATGTTAAAGATCCAAGTTGATAATCTAGGAACCAAATTGAGATTTATCTCAGGATGACAAGAAAATGGAAATCATGGAAAAACTGAAACATGGCGAATTCCTCTGGAAAGTTCAATGTTTACAATCATTTAGAAGAGAATGATCTATATAAAAAAATGAGATCCAGTAATCCAAGAAATAGAATTTTTCCTGAGTGAGAGTCCATTGAGGATGGGACAGAAATATTTAAAGAACCCAAATCTAGGAATTTCTGAATCCTAAAGAGAAAAATCAGCCATCTGAATGGGAGAGAAAATTCAGATCAGATAGCGCCAAGAGGAAAAAAAAATGAGTTGATATCCCTCCTCATCTCCAACATTAAATGCTGAGATGGAGAAAAGTCTACAGAATCCTGAGGGGTAAGGAAAACAGAATTGTCTTCCCAAACTGGAAATTCCAGGTGATTCCATCAACACTTAACAGAACTCTTACCTACCAAGGGGACAGTGGAAGAATTTTTACTTCTAACCTGCTAGTTAAAAGGAGTGGGAAAAGAACAAAGAGAACCTTTTCAGTGCCACAAAAGTTAGGGGTGGGGCAAGGGAGTGGTATGATATAGCCCAGAGAACATAAAATGGTGAAAATAAGATGAAAACAAATGTGAATAGACTAAACTATCTTGTTAAAAAGCTAAAAGAGCAACATAATGGTGTAAGGTGTTTGCATCCCTAAAACAAGACAAAGAACTGGATAATGACCTTTTAAAGAGAGAGCAGAAATGACAAATTGATAACAGACAAAAGTGTGAGAATAAAGTATTAAATAGAGAAAGCCGTTTTCTGTATTCTTCCAAGATAGTATTGGAGCCATGATTTCTGTTTTGTACGTTAAAGTGTAGCCGGCCTTTCTCAGAAGCACAAAAGAATTAAAGGCACTGTAGTGTGGTGGCTCTGATGCGGCTGCATTGTTAGCATTAAATTCGTAAATCACCTGTACTCCTTACCGGCTTTTTAACCTGGACAAGGTACTTAGCATCCCAATGCCTCTGTTTGCATGTGTAGAATTGGCGATAAGTGGGCTTTTATACGAACACGTGGGATTCATGGAGGTAAATCACTTAGAGTGCCTTGCCTGTTACTCAGTGCCTGACAGGTCATGTAACCAAAGAAAGAGAAAGGCTCTTGGAGAATTCAATGGCACAGTTAATAAGCTGGCTTTGTATAGTCGTCCTCACAAATCTCCTACCACAGCACATGTTTTGCCAAGTGCCCTAAGGAAGATTTTCTTCACCTTTCAAAAGTAAACACCATACAGGATGCATTCCCACCAAAATCAACAAAAAGATGTTCAAGAGAAATTTAACTGTTGGAAATCTAAAATTGCTTTCCTTGTAGGTATTAAATGAACTCAAAACTAGGTTGCTGGCAAAGCTAGTCTCTAAAGGGAAAATCATAGCTTTAAATACTTAAGAGATTTAAAGTAAACCTTAGCAGTCAAACTGATAATCTAAAGTGCAGTAGTAAAGTATACTTCTAAAGAGGAATTCATAAAAGCAAAAATTAAAATGATCTTTAGGAACTTTTGTCAAGAGTAAGAAAAAAATATCAAATGAAAACTTGTTCATAGCCATGATGGAATTTATACTGTTATTTGGATATGTTCATAGAAGTGTCTAGATTATTTAGGAGGTCATGTCTCTTAAAAAAAAAAAAATAAATAACAGTAGAAATTGAGTATGGGAGACAGGCTCAGTAATCAAATACTTGGCACCATCCATCCTAGTTCAACATGACCCTTTAGCTTATGTATGTTAAGATTCTCCTAAATTTCGTTATGAGAAATAAGAAACTAAAAAGTGTTATAAGCTCTACTTCAAAAGTCACTGGAAAAATAGAGAATTCACAATCAGGAGTTTTTTGTACATGGAGACAAATGAAAATAAAAACACAATGGTCCAAATTTGGGAGACAGAGTATTACAGTGATACAAGCCTACCACAAGAAACAAGAAAAATTCCAAAGAGCCTTATGCCTAAAGGGACTAGAGAAAGGAGAACAAAGCCCAAAATTAGTAGGAGGAAGGAAATACAGCTCAGAACAGAAATAAATGAAATAGACACTAAAACAATAGAAAAGATCAATGGAACCAAGAGCTGGTTCTTTGAAAAGATAAATGAAATTGAAATCCCTTTAGATTCCTCAAGTAAAAGAGAACACAGTAAAATCAGAGATGAAAGAAAAGTAACAGCTGACACCACAGAAATACAAAGGATTATAAGAGACTACTACAGAAAATTATATGCCAACAGATTGGACAAACAAGAAGAAATGGATAAATTCCTAGAAATAGTATATTCCAAAACTGAATCCAGAAGAAATAGAAAATCTGAACAGACCAAATACTATATAGTAATGAAGATGAACTGATAATCCAAAAACTCAAAAGTCCAGGACCAGATGGATTTACAGGTGAATTCTACCAAACATTTAAAGAAGAGTTAATACCTATTTCCCTCAAACTGTTGCAAAAAAATAGAAGAGGAAGAAGAGCTTCCAAATACATTCTATGAGGCCAGCATTACCCTATTACCAAAACCAAATGAAGATGTATGGGTGAGTATCTTTGATGAACAGAGATGCAAAATCCTCAATAAGATATTAGAAAACCATATTCAACAACACATTAAAAGGATCATTCACCATGATCAAGTGAGATTTATTCTGGGGATGCAAGGATTGTTCAGTAGTTGCAAATCTTTTAATGTGGTACACCACATTAATGGAGTGGAGGTTAAAAATCATTATTTCAGTGGATGCAAAAAAAAAAATTGGCAAAATTCAACATCCATTCATGAATACTCCCAACAAAGTGGGTTTAGAGGAAACATAATAAAGGCCATATATGAAAAACCCACGGCTAACATACTCAGTGGTGAAAAACTGAGAGCTTTTCCTCTAAGATCAGGAACAAGACAAGGATATCTATTCCTACCACTTTTATTCAGCATAGTACTGGAAGTCATCCTAGTCCCAGCAATCTGACAAGAAAAAGAAATAAAAGGCATCCACATTGGTAAGGAGTAAGTTAAACTCATTTGCAGATGACATGATACTATATAGGAAACTCTAAAGACTACACCAAAAAAACTCTGAGGTAATAAATGAATCGGTAAAGCTGTAGGCTATAAAATTCACAGAAATCTGTTGCATTTCTATACACAATAACAAAGCAGAAAGTAAAATTTATATACAATTAAGCAAAAAAGAAAATACCTAGAAATAAACTTAACCAAGGAGTGAAAAACCTGTACTCTGAAAACTATAAAACAATGATGAAAGAAACTGAAGATGACACTAACAAATGGAAAGACATACCATGCTTATGGACTGGAAGAATATTGTTAAAATGTCCCTGCTAAAACAATCTGCAGATTCAGTGCAATTCCTATCAAAATACCAATAGTATTTTTCATAGAATAATCCTAAAATTTGTTTGGAACAACAACAAAAAAACCCTCCCCCCAATAGCCAAAGCAATCTTGAGAAAGAACAAAGCTAGGGGTATCACAATCCCAGATTTCAAGATACACTACAAAGCTATTACAGTTGAAACAGTAAGGTACTGGCCCAAAGGTAGACATGTAGGTCAGTGGAACAGAATAGAGAGCCCCAAAATAAACCCACTCTTATGTGGTCAGTCTATGACAGAGGAGGCAAGAATATACAGTGGCAAAAAGACAGTCTCTTCAATAAATAGTACTGGGAAAACTGGACAGCAACATGCAAAAGAATGAAACTGAACCACTTTCTTAAACCAGATACAAAAATAAACTCAAAATGGATTGAAGACCTAAATGTGAGACCTAAAACCATAAAACTCATAGAAGGAAACATAAGCAGTAATCTTTGACACATACCTTAGCAGTATTTTTCTAGATACATCTCTGGCAAGGGAAGTGAGTAAAAATCTGTAACCACATCAAACTAAAAAGGTTTTGCACAGAAAAGGAAACAATCAGCAAAACAAAAAAGCAACATGCTGAATAGAAGATATCTGCAAATGTTATATCTATTAATATCCAGAATATATATATATATATATAAAAAAATTCACACACAAAACAAAATCCGATTAAAAAATGGACAGAGGGCTTGAATAGACATTTTTCCAAAGAAGACCTGCAAATGGCCAGCAGACATGAAAAGTTGTTCACTCACCGTCAGGGATATGCAAATCGAAACCACAATGAGATATCATCTTACACCTGTCAAAATGCCTAGAATCAAAAAGACAAGATATAGCAATGTTGGTGAGGATGAGGAGAAAAAGAAACCCTTTGTGCACTGTTGGTGGGAATGTAAGTTAGTGAAGCTACTGTGGAAAACCATATGGAGGTTCCTCAAAAAAATAGAATTACAATATGATTTAGTCATTCCACTACTGGGTGTTACCTGAAGAAAATGAAAATATTAATTCAAAAAGATATACACCCCTGTTATGTTTATTGCAGCATTATTTACAATAGCCAAGATATGGAAGCGATCCAAGTGTCCATCAATAGATAGAGAAAAAAGATGTGGTTATATGTACAATGGAATAGTACTCAGCCATAAAAAAGAATGAGATGTTGCCATTTGCGACAGCAGAAATGGACCTAAAGAGTATTATTCTAAGTCAGAGAAAGACCAATTCCTTGTGATTTCACTTCTACGTAGAATCTAAAAAAAAAAAAAATGAACAAAACAGAATCAGACCCTTAAATACAGAAAACAAACCGATGGTTGCCAGAGGGGAGGGAGTGGGGGAGTGAGCAAAATGGGGAAGGGCAGCAGGTGGTACAGGCTTCCAGTTATCAAGGACTAAGTCCTAGGGAGGAAAGAGTAAGGACAGGGAATAGTTAGTGGTACTTGAGTAGTGATGTATGGTGACAGATGGGAGCCACATTTGTTGCAAGCACAGCATAATGGATTCAGTTGTTGAATCACTATTTTGTACACCAGAAATGAAGCTTTGATATAAAATAGATACAGATAGCTGGGACCCACAATCGCAGGCTCTGATTTAACTGATCTGGTGTGTGGCCTGGGCATACCACATGATCCAGCAGTCTTACTGCTGAGTATATTTTTTTTCCTTTTTCTTTTTTTTTCTTTTTTAAGTAGGCTCCATGCCCATCATAGAGCCCCATGTGGGGCTTGAACTCACGACCCTGAGATCAAGACCTGAGCTGAGATCAAGAGTCTGATGCTTAGCCGACTGAGCCACCCAGGCATTCCTGGGTATATATGTATTTTTTAAAAAGTTTTTTGAGCTCATGTATAGTTGCTGTGGCCAGAACTACCAGATGGACCCTCTGTTCTTAGAGGGCTAACCTTATTCCATATTTGACAATCTGTTGACTCTTTTCCTCTCCTCACCACAGTGAGGCAGCAAATCCCCCGTGGTAGGGAGGGCACAGCACTGAACCAGAAGTTCTCTCTGGGTTCTCTGCCTTTGGTTACCCTGGCATCTTGGGTGAGTCACTGTGCTGTGAGAAGAGAACCAACCCCTTGCCCTCCAGGGATTTCCTACTAGGCTCAGTCACAGCTTTGTTTCCAAAGGTGTTTTGGAGTACAGGAAGCCCATGTGAATATAAGTTTTTGTTGTGTTTTTTAAAGTAAACTTAGAATTCCCCCGTTCTTATTAAAAAGCACATGCCCATCTGTAGTTGGAGGACACAGGCCGCACATAAAAGTGAAAAGTCTGTTCCTCCAACAGAAAGCGTTGAAGGGAAAAGTAGAATTCTTATGGGGTGAGTCTTAATTGCAAAAGCGAGGAAGGCACCACAACTTCTATGTTGGATCGAGAATGTTCTGACGTAGCCATGATTATTTTTCTCCCTTAGGTTGATGAAAACATGAAAGTTGCACAGAAACGCGATGCTGTCTTGCAGGGAATGTTTTATTTCAGGAAAGATATTTGCAAAGGTATTACATTCTCTTGGATTTCTAGAGTCACTTACTTTAGGCTACAGCACGCTGCTCAAGCGCCTCTGTCCTGTCCTCTGGCAGGTGGCACCACCATGGTGGACGGCTACAGCAAGGCCCAGAACAGCACGGAACAGGCAGTAGAGGAGTACACCCTGATGAGCATAGACACCATCATCAACGGGAAGGTAGGGGCCCTGCTCCACGCCCCTCACCGCCTCCACCCGTGGCCAGAGCACTAATGATGTGCCCTGCTTCTCGTAGGAAGCTGTGTTTCCTGGGCTGATCCCAATTCTGAACTCTTACCTTGAAAACATGGAAGTGGATGTGGACACCAGATGCAGTATTCTGAACTACCTAAAGCTAATTAAGAAGAGAGCATCTGGTATGGCATCCTTTGCTTTTTCTTTCTTGTTTTAAATCTTAATGTAGGCAGAACCTTTACAGTCTTACAGTCTTCAGTTTCTTAACATAGTCTTTTCAGGTATACTGTATTTTATCAGTGCATTCTTTTTCACACTTGATGTCTCTGCAATGGGATGCACCTTATAATCGTTGACCGTTTAATTAGCAGTGGTTTTTCTCGTACCAGTTCATCAAGCAGTGATGCGTCTTTAAGTCCATAGCATCTTAGACAATGAACTAGAGTATCTAGATTGCCTGTTAGTCATTTATGGGAGCTGTGTTTGTTGTACATCACCACGGGCTCTCTCTTTAGGGCTAAGTAACTCTAGGTTACAGGAGCGACAGCTAGGACGTCTGGTTCTTCAGCCTGCTTCTCATCCAGTGAGTGCCCCAAAACCCCTCTTTGTTTGTTTTGAGATCACATTGATGGTGCCTAACAAGGGCCTGGCACAAGGGAGCAGTCAGCTGTAAGAGTAATAGTAATGGCGTCTGACATTTCCCTTGAGACTTTCATGAACTTTCTGGAGTCACATAAGATATACCCCGAAACGGCGTGTCTGCCAGTTCCTCCCTTCATTCATTCTACTTAACTGTTCCTTATTTTCTCCACCTCTTTGATCAAAGATGGTTCTGGGAACTTCAGACCCTACACTTCCTGAATCAGTAACAGCTCCGGCCAAATGGGAGGACACATGCTCTACTATATGTATTAGCTCCTGGTTTTGGATTTCTTTCCAGTTTGGTTGAAGAATAATTGACATACATCATAGCATAAACGTAAGGCCTACGGCAGGATGGTTTGATTTACATATATGATGAAGCGATTACCACAGTAGGCTCAGTTAAGATCCTCTTCTTATATAGACAGAAGAAAAAAAGAATTTCTCCTTGTGATGAGAACTCCTAGGGTCTACTGTCCTACCAACTTCCACGTCACACATCAGTGTTAGCTGTAGTCCTCGTGTACGGGACATCCTTAGTGGCTTCCCGTTTCTGAAGAGCTGGCAGTGCTCCTGTGTGGGTAACATCGAACCTTGGGATGTGTGTGCTAGTTGCCTGCCTGCAACCTAAAATTCTTCCCCAGGAGGAATTCTTCCAACACCCTGGAAAACCTCTTTCCCCAGCCTCTGCCATGTTGGGTACACCAGAAGGTCATACTGATTTTTCTTTAGGATTGTGTTTATGCCAGTCACCAAAGTGAACTTACTGTAAAAAAAAAAAAAAAAAAGGCACTTCTCTTAACTTATGTTGTCTTAATTTTTCCCCCTCCAGGAGAACTAATGACAGTTGCCAGGTGGATGAGAGAGTTTATCGCAAACCATCCTGACTACAAGCAAGACAGTGTGATAACTGATGAAATGAACTATAGCCTTATTTTAAAGTGTAACCAAATTGCAAATGAATTATGTGAATGCCCAGAGTTACTTGGACCAGCATTAAGGAAAGTAAAATACAGTGGAAGTAAAACTGACTCTTCCAACTAGACCTTCTGCCGAAGGAAAAACACATTACTATTTTATTGGAGAACTGACTGCAGTACTCCTCAGCCCGTGTGTGGGATGAAGACCAAATTCTAGAATGGCACTGTTGGGCCAGTCGGCCAGAGATGGGTTTAGAGGCTTTCCTTCAGTAGGTAAATCTAGAGTTTATACAGCATACATGTACATAGTAAAATATTTTTATGATTAACAATGTATTTTAATAACATTGTATCTAAAGTCCTTGTGAACCGGCTTGTACATTTTTCAGTTCTTACTCTGGAATACCTACCGTCTGAGCAGTTTTGTAAATGTAATGTACTTGTCACTGTACTATACCTGCATTCCAGAGTTTAAGATGTTTACTGTAAATTTTTGGTTTTTTTTTTTTTTAAAGACTTTACCTGGGACCTGATTCACTGAAATTTATCACTTCTCTTTAAAAAAAGTTAGTCTTGTTAATTTTCTTTGAGTCTTCTCCTTTGTTGTGTACTTAAAATCACTATTGAATCCCTTGAAATGCTTCCAGGGTAACCTTGGGTTTCTGGCACCTTGTCTCTAATGTTTCTTTTGTAATTGAAATAGCTAACAGCTTGGTCACCCTGCCTCAAGCTTTCACCTCTAAATAAAATCCATTGAACTGAAGGCTGTTATAAAAGGTACTCCTTTGTTTAAATTTGCTGATTTAGGCATTAAGTTTAAAGAGCAGTCTGTAGAAAGAAAGACTATTACTTTGAATTCACCTGTGGTGAACTGGGGGGGTGATTTTTTTTTTTAATTATTAAAAAAAGGGGCAGAATTCTCTTCCTGTACATACCAGGAGTAATGTCAGAAATAGCACCAGCCCTTCTGTTGTGGCCCCTGTTGGTTCTGATCGCTGCTATATATATACTTCAATTTTCAAATCAAAAGCAGTTGCTCAAGTCTTTTTGTTACTTTTTCTCTAGTTTCCAGTAAACATATTGACATTCTCCTAAAGACCATTCTAGATTTTACCTGGGAAATACTCCCCATAATACTTACCTTCTCTATGAAAACCATGAATGAATCATGATGTGCACTAAGTTTTGTGAATCAGGACCCTACATGTTCAATTGTAAATAATTTAAGTTTACATAATTGTTAGTGCTTTTTGTTGGTTTTTTTTTTCCCCAATTAGTTAGGTCCTAACTGCTTCTGAAATAACTATGTATAGCAGATTATGCAAACTTTTATAGGCATAAATATTTAAGTTGTAATGCTAATTTTAACAAACTGCGATAAAGCTGCTTCAGCTAAGCCTGTTTGTGTATAAATACTATGCTTTGTGCGATGTTTCATACATGTATTTTGAAGGATTTAAGAATGCCTGTTTTTCATTTGCAGTTTGCTTGTATAAATCAGGTTGTAAAAAGGCAGATGAACTAAAAATGTTTGTGGTATGAGGAAATAAAAGAATGGAATTAGCATTCTGACAGCTTTCGGATGTGTGAGTTCCACAGCTAAATGGAGGGTGATGGGGATTGTTGTAATTAGCCCAGATCCTCCATGACATTTTTTTTTTTTTTAAGATTTTATGACAGCGCGAGCGAGTGCGCACAAGCAGGGGAGAGAGGGAGAAGCAGACTCCCTGCTGAGCAGGGAGCCTGACACGGGGCTGGAACCCAGGACCCTGGGATCATGACCTGAGCCGACAGCAGACGCTTAACGACAGAGCCACCCAGGTTCCCCAATGACATTTCTTCATTGCAATCCTCAGATGTTTTTAGAAAGAAGCCTGGTCTCAAAACAGGTGCCTCCACTCCTTTAGGAGCTGTCCACCCCCAGGGGGAGGGGAGAGACCTGCTGGACGGATGACAGGACCCCTGGCAGTGGATGTTTCTTTCACTCCAGACTACTGCCGTGCTGAGTCAGTGGTCACAGGGGTGGTGCTGTGTGCACTGTAAGCTAGAGACGCAGGACTGTGAATCAGCAAGCCTGGCCAAGAGCTGTTGCCAACCCATGTGTTTGGATCAATATCCTCTCCTCCCCCCGAGCCCCTTATAACATGATGGTCAGTCCACTTTTCTTAGCTCGGACTTCTTTATCTGAATGATCCTAGGGCAGGACTTGTCAAACTAATCTGCATCCAGATCTGCTGGGATCTTAGTAAGTTGCACATTCTGGCTTAGTGGGCCTGGGGTGGGGTCTGTTTTCCACTTCTAAAACGCTCCCAGGAGATGCTGAGGCTGCTGCTCTGTGGGTCCCTTTTGAGTAACAAGGACTTAGATCATGCTCTGTACCTCAGCTACAGTCATTTTAAGTCTCAAGTGACACTTGTCTTTAGTTTTAATGTGTTGTATCTAGATTCTTCTCTTCCCGAAAACCAGACCGCCACCTTTCCTGAGTTTTACCATCTGAGCCCAACAGAGAATTTGGGGTTTTAGGAACAGAACTGCACTCACTTTACCTCCAGTCGCCCTGCCAGCACTCCATCCACCCACCAAAATGCCTCCTGAGAGGAACACGTGGTGATACCCCAGCTTGCACCCACTTCAGCTATCCTGTTGGGGACACTCTGTACAGACAGCCCTGAAACTGCCCAGCCTATGCCCACTTCAGCTCCGGGCATACTACCAGGGCAGGCCCAACGTGGAATGTCCTGGGACCCTTCCCCCCCCACCAAATCATGCCAGCCACAATTCCTGCCATCCACACCTCCAGCCAGCCAGTCACCAAGCACACACAATCTACACAGGAGACAACCATGCACAAGACCATTCCTTCAAGTTTAGAAGTAGCTATTCCACCTAATTCACAGAAACACAAAAGGTCAAGCAAAATGAGACATAGAAATATGCTCCAAATGAAAGGACGACAAAAATCTCAGAAAAAAATAAATGAAACATAACCAATCTACTTGATAAGGAATTCAAAGTAATCATAAAGATGCTCACTGGACTGGAGAGAAGAGTGGATGAACTCAATATCAACAAGAGATAGAAAATTTTAAAAAGCTGAAGAAAGACTACAATAACAAAAATATACTACAGGGAATCAACACAGAACATGCAGAAGAATGTATCGGCAAATGGGAAGACAAGAGTAATAAAAATCATCCACACTGAACAGCAAAAAGAAAGGAATTTTTTTTTAAATGAAGACAGGTTAAGAGATTGCTTGAACATCAAACACAAAACATTCACATTATAGGGGCCCAAGAAAGAGAAGAGAGGAAGAAAGGGGCAGAAAACTTATTAGAGAAATAATAGTTTGGGAATTCCTTAATCTGGGGAAGAAAATAGACATCCAGGTTGAGGAAGTACAGAGTTTCAAAAAAGATGAACCCAAACAGGTCCACACCACAATATGTAATAATTACAATGTCAGAGATTAAAGAGAAGATTTAAAAAGAACAAGAGAAAAGCAACTGGTTATATATATAAGGAAATACCATAGGACTATCAGCTGAGTTTTCAGCAGAAACTTTGCAGTCCAGAAGGAAGTAGCACAAGATATTTAAAGTGCTAAAGAAAAAAATCTACAACCAAGAATACTCCACCTGACAAGGTTATAATTCAGAATCGAAGGAAACAAGCCTTACAAGACATAGTAAAGGGACTTCTTTAAGTGGAAAAGAAAAAACCATGATTAGAAGAAAATTATGAAAGGAAAAAATTTCATGAGCAAAAGCACACACACAGTAAAGAGACTAGACCAGTCACTTACAAAGGTAGTATGAAGGTTAAAAGACAAAGCAGTGAAATCAATTATATCTAAAAATTAGTTAAGGGGATTTTTAAAAGATGTAAAATATGACAACATACATAAAACATGGAAGAGGGGCAGTAAAAATTGTGATTTTTAAATGTGTTCGAACTTAAGTGACAACATGGACCGCTATATTCTTAGGATGTTATATATGAATTTCATGCTAACCACAAACCAAAAACCTAAACAGACAAAAAAATTTTAAAGAATAAAAGCATAACGCTAAAGAAACTCATCAATCACAAGAGAAAAAAATTAGGAACAGAGAAGAACTTCAAAAATAACCAGAAACAATTAACAAAATTGCAATAAGTTCATACCTATCAATAATTCCTTTAAATGTAAATGCCCTATATGCTCCAATCGAAAAACATGGGATGACTAAATGTATAAAACAGTAAGACCCATTTATATGCTGCCTATAACGGATTCACTTCAGACCTAAAGACAAATGCAACTGAAAGTGAAGGGATGGAAAAGATATTCCATGCACATGGAAGGGAAAAGAAGAAAAAGCCAGTTAGCAATACTTAGACAAAATCGACTTTAAAACAATAATAACAAGATACAAAGAAGGGCATTACATAATGATGAAGAGACTGATCAGAGAAGAGGATAGAACAATTATAAATATCTAGGCACCCAACATGGGAGCACCTAAATACAGAAACCAAATATTAACAAAGAAATAGACAGTAATACAATAATAGTAGGGGACTTTAACATCCCACTTACATCAGTGAATAATCAGCCAGCCAAAAAATAAAGAAGGAAACTGTTTTTAAATATCACATTAGACCAGATGGACTTAACAGATATATACAGAATATTCCACCCCAAAATAACAGCATATACATTCCTTCAAGTGAACATGGAACATTCTCCAGGAGAGATCACATGTTAGGCCACAAAACAAGCCTCAATATATTTAAGGAGATTAAATTCATATCAAGCATCTTTTCATGGCATAATGATATAAAACTAGAAATCAAAAGAAAAAACTGGAAAAAAATCACAAACATGTGGAGGCTAAACAACATGCTACCAAACAAGTCAACCAAGAAATGAAAGAGGAAATTTAAAAATTCATGAAGACAAAGGAAAATGAACATCCAACAGTCCAAAAGTCTTTAGGATCCAGCAAAAGCAGTTCTAAGAGGAAAATTTATAGAGATAGGCACACATGGAGAAACAAAAATCTCAAACAATCTAAACTTACACATAAAGGAACTAGAACAAGAACAAAGCCCAAGGTTAGTTGAAGGAAGGAAATAATAAAGAACAGAGTGGAAATGATACAGAGACTTTCAAAAGAAATAGAAAAGATCCCTGAGACCACAGGCTACTTCTTTGAAAAGATAAACAAAATTGATAAATCTTTAGCTGACTCATCAAGAAAAAAATGGAGGATTCATATAAATAAAATCAGAAATGAAAGAGAAATAACAATTGATACCACAGAAATATGAAGGTTTATAAAAGAATACTACAAAAAATTATATGCCACCAAATTGAACAACTAAGAAGAAATGGATAAATTCCTAGAAATGTATAATCTTCCAAAACTGAATCAGGAATAAATAGAAAATCTAAACAAACCAGTTACAACAAAATTGAACTGGTAATCAACTCTCAACAAACAAAAGTCCAGGACCAGATGGCTTTACATGTGAATTCTACCAAACATTTAAAAAAGAGTTAACACCTATTCGTCTCAAGCTTTTCCAAAAAAGAAGAGGAAGGAAAGCTTCTAAATACATTCTATAGGCCATCATTACCCTGCTATAAACACCAAAGACACTACAAGAAAAAAGAAAACTACAGGCCAATATCCCTGATGAATATAGATGCAGAAACCCTCAATAAAAAAATAGCAAACAGCACTCAACAATACTTCAAATCATTCACAATCAAGTGCAAGAATGCAAGAATGGTTCAAATTTTCAAATCAATTAAAGTGATACACCACATTGACAAAACAAAGGATAAAAATCATGTGATCATCTCAGATGTTGAAGAAGCACTTGACAAAATTCAACATCTGTTCATGATGAAAACTTTTTTTT